TATTTTAACTGTTAACAAAAAAATAAAAAAAAATATCTGATTAATTTTGAAAAAAATGTTTTTATTAAGAAAACAGACGTTATACGAAGCATTAAAATTTTCTTAAAAAATCTAATCTGAATAAAATATATTTTCAAAAAATATTTTTTAAAAAATTGTCGCTTTGAAAAGCTCTCAATAAATATTCTTTAAAAATTTACTGCCTGAAAAACATTAAAAAACTATATAATTTTACTAATAGTCTACAATCTTTAAAAATCTTTAACATATAATTTTTATTTTGAAAATAAATTATCTTCAGTGACGAGGCCCAATTACATCTTGATGACTTCGGCAGAGAAATCATTGGGCCTCTTTAATGAAAACGAGTCCGGTCAATCGCAAGCAGCGGTGTTCGGTGTCGTGAAACGATAACCAGTTTTTTCTTGCTTAGAATTGAAGAAATTAAGGTAAAAGACGACGCCACATGTCACACATCCAGAGAAACTATTCTACTATTTGGGATATTCGTTATTGGAACAATTAAATATAAATGATAAAAAATATATAAAACAAATTATACAAAAAATCTAAAATATGAGAAATCTTAAAAATGATATTAATCTACGCCCTAATAAATATTAAAAACATCTAAACAATCTAATCCGATTATAAAATAAACAATTAAAAAATCTAAGATGAAGACAATTTTTTTATTATTGTTATTTTTTAAATATTTTTTTCGAAGCCCTTACAAATTGTAGAATAGTTTTAATACCCTTCACCACACTGTGGTACAGGGTATTATGTCTTTGTGCATATGTCTGTAACAGGCACAAGTAAACGAGATAGACCCATGGTTCCTTTTGCAAATATGCATAGAAACACATTCTGAGTCGATTTATGCTTGTTTGTTCGTCTGTAGATGTTAAATTGTAAAGTTCTGTACTTTACAATGTTAAGAATATCAGATTTGGATGAAGTCACTTATTTGGCCCAAGGACGAACCCTATTGAAATTGAAGAAAATCGGGTCAGATTTAGATATAGTTCCCATATATATTTTCATCCGATTAATGGTAAATGGGGCATCAAAGTTCATATATAGCATTCGATTTGCATAGCGCACTGAATTAAGTTGCGAATGATGTGTACTAAGTTTCCTGGAAATCGTTTCAGATCCCATATATATTTTCGTCCGATTTTATTTTAATGGAGCACCAAAGCCGTTATATATCCTTTGATTTACACGAATTTCTGCATAACGTACTGAATTAAATCTAGAATGATGTGTGCTAAGTTTCGTGAACATCGGTTCAGATTTATATATAGCTCCCATATATATTTTCGCCCGATTTAATGTAAATTGTGCACTAAAGATCCAAAGTATGGCCAATTGGCATACACTTCCTATAACCTTACGTGTGTCAAGTTTTTTTGCAATCGGTTCAAATGTAGATATAGTTTAGCTTACATATATAATTTCGACCTATTCAGGTACATTGAACAACAAATAACAAATGGGTGACTGATTAAGATTACATTAGTCAAATAGTGTGTATAAAGTTTACTTTAAATCAATTTACAAAATTTAGAATACGTTACCGAATGGCATGTTTAGGGATTGAAGTCGGTTTACTTTTAGATAAAGATCCCATATGTAAGTTCGTTCAATTTCATGTCAATGTTTATTCGAAAAGGCGATGTCAAATATTCGGCACAGTCGGACTTGACTACATTCCTTACTGGTTAATAATATTAAATAAATAATATTAAAATATATATATATATTTATTTAATATTTATTTAAAAAATAATAAAAATTCGACACTCTGATAGTAATGAAAAAACTTACATTTTAAAAATGGTACACTCTGACAAATATTGGAAAACATTTTTTAAAAAACGCTCTGAGAAGTCAATTATAGTCTTTAAAAGTTATTCTACAAAAAATTGTCACTCTTAAAATTATTGGAAAAAAATATAAAATATGTATAACCAGTGAGCGGAGCTGTATAGTCGGACGAGACCGACTATACAGCCGAAAATTATAGGCGTTGTCCTTGACCATAACTGGAACCTCATTGAATATTTCAAAGCGATCAGTGCCATATTTCCGCCCTCCAGGGTGGGTTACTAAATAATATATGAATACGTAAGCACCTGTAAATATTTACGTGTAACTCCCACATCCGTGGAACATACGACAATATATACTCTTGGATATACTATCAACTTCTCGGGTCTATGTCCTTCAGGAGTAAATATATACGCCGTAGAATACAAATGTTGTCATTTTTCATACAAAAGACAGGGTTCATTTGACCTGCTAAATTTACCGATCTTTATCAAAACAGGCATGCTTATTCTTTGGCTTATTCCCCTTCTACATGTAAAAGTTCGATATGGTTGGGCCATAATTGCGGCCTCTGGAGCGAGTAGAAAAACGGACAAAACTTATTTGGTCCATTTCATCCCCTAAATATTAACCGGTGTTTACCAAAAACAATAGGGGTCTTCATTGGGCAGATTCCATCCTACGTGAAGATTGGTCCATAATTGTGGCCTGTATCGTTTTTACAAAGTGCGCTGAAAAATAATAATTTTGAAAAAAATCGAAAACCTGATAAAAAATGATAAACAAATTAAAAAAATATATATTTTTTTCAAGAAAATTTCTCTTTAAAAAATAATGAATAAAAAAACCAAAGCTTACCCCTTTTTGAATGTCTTATATGCTCTTTTGGTTTTTTTTTTTTTAATCTAAGTTTTAAATAAAATTTTAAATCTTTAAAAATTGTTTTTATAATAATCTAATACATTTTAATTCTCATAAACACCTTAAAACATATTTTCAAGCTAACACATTACCACTCTCTGATGGTTTAAAATAAATACGCATTGGTTGTTATTTCGAACTTTTTTAACTTCTGCAAGAAGACTAAATCTAATACACAAGTTTTATAAATATTCTGACATTAAAGGTTTAATATTTTCTCGTCTTAATTTTTTAAATTTATTACATTTTAAAAAATTCGCCAACCACTTTCTTTAAAGTTATTTAAAATTAATAAAATTTATATCGAAATAATAATGAATTATTACATCAGAATTTTTATACGGAACGAATTTTTATACGGAATTTACTTTAATCTTCCGCCTCATAAACATCACAAACGGCAACCCTGTTAATAATGTATGTATGTTAATATGTATGTACGAATATCTGTGAATACTATTTGTTGTTATTTCTATTTTGTATTGATATTCAATGAAATGTTGCCAACCATAGGCCTTTGCCGTTTAGTAGCTCTCTAGACTTGGAACAGCAAACATGTGACAAGGAGGAAATATACATTTTTTGTTTGACACATGAAATAGGAAGTGAAGTGACCGAACGTAATTCATAAACAACATTTTCAAGTACTTAACAACAACATAAAAGTGTGTTGATATTGAAATCTCTTTGATAAATTGAATATTTAATAATGAAAACATAGTAGATAAGAATTTGTGTTTGAATCATTAAATGGACCAAATTAAGTTCTATACATTATTGCATCATATCAGTATATATAAAACAAAAAAAAAATATTAACAAAGTAGCAGCATATGAGTCATTCCAAAATATAAATTTCCGTTGATTGAAAAGTGAAGGCCTACAATGAAGAAATATTTACAATTTGCAGTTTTTTTTAATTAAAAATCGATTAAACAAAAACATTTTCAAAAGTTTGATATTGACATGTGAATATGGCGTTGTAGAGTCTTTTTTTTTAATTTTGTTTTTTAGAAAATAAAAATAATAAACCGCCTGAAATCATGTGTAATTTCCAACTGAAGGTCTCATATGTTGGGTTTTGACATTTCTTTGTCCATGCGCAGTAGTTTATTTTTCAATATCTTCTCTCTCAACACAAGAGAATTGTACGTTGAATCGAATGTAAACAAAACATTTTGCCGGTTTGTGGTAGATGGCAACAGGCAGTTCATTCCCAGCAGAGAAAGTGGTCATAGTTTAGACACAAAATAGTATGACAAATTTGCCATTATATAATAGGAATTTTTTTTAAGAATAATAACTTTTAATTTTTAACTTTATTAACTTTTTAAGAATAATATCAAGGAATATTATTATATCAATGACCAATAAATCACGGATTTTTATTTTTTATTCCAAAAATATTATATACGAAACTCGTGCAGTTTTTAAAGAATATTTTTCAAATAATAAAAAATATATGGAATTTAAAATAATTATATTTCAAAATCCATCTAAAGTGCAGAATTTTCAAATAATGTTTTTTCAAGGTTCACTTCAATTGAGGATTTTTCGAAAAATATTTTTTAAATTTCATATAAACGTGATTTTTTTTAAGAATATGTTTTTTTTAATGTTTAGAGAAAAACGCGTTTAAAGTTTGAGAAGCCCTTCAGCCGTCACTTGATGCTGACACAATAAATCGGCTATATCTTCAAGACTTCTTGAGATTTTCATTTGAAATTTTGTAGGGACATTATTTAATTAGTGTAGATTCGAATTATATCAACAAAATGTTTGACCCCGAGAATGGGGGGTCCCTTAATAGCATAGTTTAAGTGAGGACTTATTAAAGAATATTTTCTCAATGTCCTTCTCAAGCGAGGATTTTTCAAAGAATACTTTTAAAGATGATTTTTTAAAGAATATCTTATACATTTTGAATCTTTAAATAGCAAAGATGGAAATTTTGTATTTAAATTTTTTTTTCCGAAATACAGACCTGACAGTTTTTATTTTATTATATTTTTTTCAAATAATATCAGAGCTAGGACATTTAATGCAGTTTTTCTAAACATTTTTCTACTTTATTATCGATTTCATATTTTTTAATATCTCAGCTAAGTTCATATATTTAAAAAAAAGTCTATTAAATGTTTTTAAAAACTTCAGAACTAGAATCTTTTATTTAATAATATCAAAGCTATTTTTAATAATAAAAACACAATTTTTATTTATTCCAGAATAATTTAATATTCACCATGACTGAGGAGAAATCCAGATTACACGAACCCACCGCCAACGCCACAGTTTGCATACAAGCAAACAACAATACCAAAAAATCCAAAAGAAAACATCGTGACAAAAGTGATTTGGGTCCAAATTTTGTAGCACCCGATGGTGGTTGGGGATGGGTTGTTTGCATAGCTGCCGGTTTAAGTAATGTGAGTATAAATAATATTTAAAAAATCTAAATTAGTGCAAGACAGAAAATAACATTTTATGCAGAGTTGTTAAAGAACGATAAAAACATATTAGGTTGGGGGAATAGAAATCTATTATTTTTTTCGTCGCATGTTAGCAGTCGCAACATCCAACCCAAGAGTTAAAAATCGACCATAAAACTGTTTTAAACCAGTTACACAAAACTGGATTCAAAAAGAAGCACCAATTAACAGAAAAAATAGGATGTATCGAATTTCCATCTGCGAAGCCTTGGCCAAACGGAATGAGATAGACTCATTTCTTAAACGGATGGTGACTGGAGATGAGAAATGTATCACATACAATAACCATGTGTGAAAACGATCGTTCTCAATGAGTGATGAAGCACCTCAAACGGTGGCCAAAGCAGCACTAATGGCCATGAAGGTTCTGCTATGCATTTGGTCCATAAGGCCAAACGCTTAATTCTGATCTCTACTGTCAACAATTGGACTGTTTGAAAATAGCAATTGACCAGAAACGGGTTTCTGGATTTCTTTTTCCTCAACATAATATACCATCTCATTATCAATATAACAGATTTTTTTTGTGACAATTTGGTGGTAGATTTACAAAAGTCCTTCCGTCTGATAACACATTTTATCCATAACTATCATAACGTAATATTTATTTTCAAACTTTGAGCAAGTTAAAAATGGGGGAATTTATTATCCAATTTTTTTGACATTTTGCCAATTCTAATATGGAACCTATTATGTCGAAAAAATGAACCTATTGGTCCACTTCTTTGTATGTTTCATATGAATAGAATTCAGTTTCTGATTTAATTTAATATATTCACATCGTAAAATTTCGAGCAAACATTTGTTATTGGGTCTATTCGTTCACTCTTTTTGCAACCCACATACAAGGGTACCGAACCGCCCTTCTTCAAAAATATTTTTTTTTTTCAATATAATCTCCTGAAATTTCAATACACTTAGTCCAACGCTTTTCTAGCATATCTATCCCTTAATTAAAATAGTTTTTCTCATGGTCTTTAAAACTGTGGTTTACAACTGTAATTGCAACTTCATTTGAGGCAAAACGCTTACCAGCAAGGAATTGGAAACAAGAATAAGTCACTGGGAACTAAATCAGGAAAATAAGGTGGGTGGTCAAGCAACTCATACTTTAATTCGTTCGATTTTAGTCATTGTTGAAACACTCTTGTGCATTGTTTTGATGAAAAATTATTTTTTTTGTTTCGTAAGTCAGGACGTTTTTCTCGAATTTGTATATTTACTCGTAATTGATCCAAAAGGTTGCAATAGTACTCGGAATTTATTGTTTCACCCTTTTTCAGTCAGTCAATCAAAAAAATACCTTTGAAGTCCCAATAAACCATTGCCATAACCTTACCCCCCGATTGAATTGTTTTTGCCTTCTTTGAGGTACTTCCTCCAGCTTCAGTCCATTGTTTGGATTGTTCTTTTGTCTCTGGAGTATAGTGGTGTATCCATGTCTCATCAACAGTTATGAAACGACGCTTAAAATCCATTTCGTTTAAAACGATCCAAACAAGCTTGAGAAATGTTCAATCTTATGCGTTTTTTATCGACTGTTAACAAATGCGGCACCAATCTTGCAGAAAGCTTTTCCATCTGTAGTTCTTCATGCAAATCGACTCGATCATTTGAGATGCCCATGATATTAGCAATTTCATGAACCTTTATTCGTCTAAATCTGAAAAGATTTCAACCAAACTTGGCACACACCAATCTAGAACTAATTCAATACTCTGTGCAAAATTTTGTATCAATAGGACAAATATTGGGAGTTTGGTGCAGTATTTACCTAAAATCGGACGAAACTATATATGGGAGCTATATCTAAATCTGAACCGATTTCAACCAAACTTGGCAACATCTAGACCTAATTCAATACTCTGTGCAAAATTGTGTACCAATCGGACAAATATTGGGAGTTTGGTGCACTATTTATCTAAAATCGGACGAAACTATATATGGGAGCTATATCTAAATCTGAACGGATTATTTCAAATTTCAATAGGGTTCGTGATGCGTCTTTTTTGAACACCTGTTTCTATATGAACGCCTGTTTCAGATCGAAACAAATTTAACACGTGTTCATGACAGAGATGAAAGTTTCCAAAACACTTACTTTTTCTGTTTATACAGCGCTTTTTGTGCTAGGCTAACAAGTTTCCGAACTACCCTCGTAAGATTGGGGTATTCTGTAAGTTTTTAAATTGTAGAAACATGGACCAACATCGAACATTTTTACGAAGAAGTTTTCTTCCCACTAACAACTCATAATAAAACATTAGTCACACAATTTGCAAAACTGCGACCAGGGCCTTCAAAATACTTTAAATTGGACGAAAATTGTATATAGGACCACCTCAGTTGGAAAATGCGGCAGTTTCAAAATATTGGAAATCAGGCAGTACCGTTATATATAGGCCAGATAAGTTCGCTTTCATTCTTTTTTTGTGAATTTTATATACAATCCACCTTATGTTGGATTCTATGAAAAATCCATGCATTTGTATTCTAAGAAAAAACTAATAATAAAAAAAAACATTTTAATATTCTCAGCCTTAACGAAATACTTATTTTAGATTCCACACATTTTCGACCGTCGATTTAAAAATGTCCGTCCGTCTTCCTCTCGAAATAAGTAACCGATACCATCTAACCTTTGCATTTTGTTAAATTTCTTCCAAAGTTATATGTTAAAAAATGGGGAATACAGGTCCACTCCTTCTGATGACTAACTAATTATAATTATAATATAATATGAACGTTGCATCCGATTTGCCAACCTAATATTCCACTCAAGCCTGTGTACTGTTAGAAAATCCACACACATTTTTTAAATTTGTGAAGCTCATATGAAACTAATTTCATTCAAACTGTGCACATCGTAATAATTTTGCCAAAACTTTCATTTGGATAAAGTATGGACCTAAAACGTCTTAGGGATACCCCTTTAAAATTTCAAGGAAGAATCTCAACAACTATTGTACCCATTGGTCCACTTCTTCTGGTATATCCGCCAAAAAGAGGCAAACATTTCGATTCGAACCTATCTTTGTACATCGTAATATTTCTAATAATCTTTCATTAAATCAGTATATGTGTTCTTTGGAGAAGGTGCTCCTGGCACCTCATCCACAAACTGTATCGTATAACGAACGAATTTGAACCAAAAATATAATATCATCCGACTTTATTTTAGTGGTGCACAAAACAACAATCGAGTGTTTGAATGAGCCAGTTATGTAGATTATTGAGTATGTAGGTTATTGGTCTGCTTTAACCGAGGTTATCCTCCATATATCGTTGCCTAGATACAAAGTCTCCTTAAATTGAGTGCTATGGTTGGGGTCCTTACTTTTTTAAGTGTTGTCATTTACCTCCATCCGTTCCTGTTTGTGTTGTGCAATGTGTTGATGATAATGCCGAGGTTGGTTATTAGAATCTCAGGCGGCTTTGGATGCATATATATATATATATATTGGATATAAACCCCTTTTTTTTCGAAACCCACTTAAAATAATATATCATATTCCATAGAATTTCGCACACAAGATATATGGATGCAGATCTCATAATATCGTCAGATTTCATGAAAATGTGCCTTCAAAAATGATAAGTCTGACCAATCGACATGATGTTGTACGCACGTCAAGCCCACTTCCAAAGGACGCGGGTTAAGTTGAAAGTTTAGAAAATGTTTCCATAAAAATATGATGCAATATAGTATTTTTGGTGCCCTCCCCTGAAGCGCATGACAAATTCGGCCCGACCGAACCTAACGATTGTTTTCACTTGTTCTAATAAAAAAGCCTCTACCTTATAATTATAAATTAATACATAATCATTATGTTATCTTAATTACTTCCAGCTATCAGTTTTCCCACCATTACAACAATATGGCCTTATCTATAGACGACGTATGGAGAAATTCCAATTCGATGCCAAAGAGATTACCACAATTATAAATGTCGAAATGGCAGTAGCATCAATGGTGGGTCTTGTCAATGGAGCCATGTTCCGTAGATTTACATTTCGCCAAGTGGGCTTAGTGGGGAGTCTATTCGCATTCTCAGGCATATTTTTTACAACATTTTGTGATAATTTTTGGAAATATTTGGTATGTTTTTCATCGATTTATGGTAAGTGTGAGGAAGAGAAATATAATTCTAGACATTTTCTGATTCTGATTCACTTTATTTTCCTTCGTTTTTAGGTATCGGCAGAGGTCTGACTATGGCCGCAAATTCATTGGCTGTCAATACATATTTCAAAAATAAACGACGCCGGGCTACGGGATTTACCTGGACCATTACAGGATTGGGTCCTATTATATTCCCTTATGTTTCAACGATTTTTCTGGGACTTTATGGACCACAGGGTTCTATTTTAATATATTCGGCAATAGCCCTTCATGCTTTTATGTGTTCTTTAACTTTGCAGCCGGTGTTGTGGCATTCACCAAAGCCCTCAAAGGAAGAAGAAAGGATAACAGAAGAAAATAATGGAACCTCTGAAATTGTAGGAAAATGTAAATTTTGCCAAAATCAAAAGCAGGAAGAACTGGAAAAATCGGAATATGAAGTAACCGAACCTGGTACACCCATGGTGGCCCGGGCAAATGATGGTTGGTATGGCTCGAAGTTGTCCCTGAACAAAGACGAGTCGAGGCCTACAAGGAGATTTATTTCCAAGCAGAATAACTGTGAGAGTGGTTATGAATTGGGAGAGAGAATAAAAAAATCCCCCAGCAAGGCTACAAATTTGGAAAGCGTCATGGAAGCCACACATTGCACCTGTGCCGAGGAAAAAGCTCTGCTGGAAAAGAACTCTAACGAGGAGAAAGAAAAAGCCAAACAAAATGCATTACTGGAAGCTGAAGGAGAAGAAAAGGAGGCCCAGCGAAGGAGTCATCTCTCTGTGCTGCAAAAAATTGTTCTATTTTTCGATTTAGATCTCCTCAAAGATTTCACCTTTGTCAATTTGGCCGTTGGCATGACCATTATGATGTTCGGAGAATTTAACTTCTCTGTTTTGACTCCCTTTATTTTGAATAATTTCGGTTATAACGATAAACAAATATCCATTGCCATGTCCTGTTTGGCTGGTATGGATATTTCGGTGAGGTTCTTAGCTCCATTGGTGCTGGAAAAAGTTAAACTTTCAAATAGTCTCCTCTTTGCATTCGGAATTTTAGCCGTTTCCATTGGACGTTTTATTGTCACACAAACCGATTCATATTATGTTGTAGTGGCTGCGTTTATTTTTATCGGTTTCGGTAAAGGGTTTCGTACAATTTTCTCTCCGCTGATAATACCAAGTTATGTGCCATTGAAACGTTTACCCGCCGCATCGGGTCTGCAGTTGATTCTAAGTTCAATTACATCGTTTTCATTGGGGCCGGTGTTGGGTAAGTTCGACAAATTTGGATGAATCACGAAGCATTAATTTAATGAATATTTCTTTTTATTTTAGGTACCATTACCGATAAGTTTGGTTATACCGTCACCATCCACAGCATTAATGCCCTAACCGGTCTTATGTTATTATTTTGGTTATTAGAATACTTTATACGTAGAAATCTGAAGAACAAATCTCCACAAATCGATTCTTGATATATTTTTTATGAAATGTATCATAGGTATAATTTGTATAATAGGTCGTAGCGAAAATCGTCACTTTACAGTTTTTGTCGTTATACGAACCGCAAAGAAGTGTAAAGTGTTTCACAGAAAACTGTAAAAGAAAAGTTTGTCTTCTGAGACGAGCATGCATTTATCCGATAAAATCGGAAGATGCGATTTGTGTCATACGAAATTTCAAAATGTTGACACTTTGTGGGGAGGTACCAGGTGGATTGGACGATAGATTCCGGCTTCGATCTTGATGTACTATTGATAAAAATAGTAGCAGGGGCAAATCGGATACTCAATTTCATGGACCCCACATTCGGACTGGATCTAGGTTTGGTAAAAGTATTAGGATTTGCAATTTTTCGATCAAATGAAACATTCCATTCGTTTGATGTTGGATTAAAAGAAGGAGTCCAGCGATAAGTCCCATCTTCAAACTTTTTAAAGATATTGTTAAAATTAGATTTAGCAAATTTAATTTAAAATTCATTGGCATTTTATTATGAAAAAAAAATAGAACAATTGTGTGAGCGAGGTACCAGAAGAAGTGGACCAATATTTCCTATCTTCGAACTATGTTTGGAAAAATATTACGTTTTGCAAAGATTGAATGAAATATGTTAATGCTTCGAGAGTTATTGTGAGCACCAGCCAAACCGACAGACATGCGGACCGACGTTTGCAAATCGACCGCCCTCTCAAAGAAACTTGGGGTATAAAATCCATATTTTTTTATCGAAGCAAAGTTTATATAAGCTAATTACTCACCCGTATTCGTTCATTTACCGAAGCAAATTTTTAAGTTTTTTTAACGTAAGTATCATCGTAATCACAGGAAAACAATTGGAATAATGAATCATTATGAGAAAAATTGAAAATACTTTAAATTTTTCGAAAGGTTTTCAGATAGTGGTAAGTATTGTCTCACCGTTCCTTTGAAACTCAGACATTTTTTGAAATCGAAGAAAGCCATTTATGACCAATTATATTGTATTGCGAGATTATGAAAAAATAAAGCTGCCCTTGAAAAAATATTTTTTAAAAAAATCCTTTTTGTCCTTTGGCCTTTTAAAGGTCCTTGAAAAAATATTTTTTTAACAAATCCACACCTCTTGGTGGTACTTAAAAAATTTAATTTTTAAAAATCCTTTTGGTCCTTTGTCCTTTTAGTGGTTCTTGAAAAAATTAGTTTTTAAAAAGTCCATTTGGTCCTTTGGTTGCCTTTGAAAAAATATTTTGGTTGCCTTTGAAAAAATATTTTTTAAAAAATCCTTTTGGTTCTTTGGCCTTTTCGTGGTCCTTGAAAAAATATTCTCTAACAAATCCAAACCTCTTGGTGGTCCTTGAAAAAATATTCTTTAAAAAATCCACACCTCTTGGTGGTCCTTGAAAAAATATTCTTTAAAAAAATCCACACCTCTTGGTGGTCCTTGAAAAATATTCTTTATAAAATCCACGCCTTTTGGTGGTCCTTGAAGAAATATTATACGCCTTTTGGTGGTCCTTGAAAAAATATTTTTTAAAAAATCCACGGCTCTTGGTGGTCCTTGAGAAAGAAAAAACAAGTCCATTTCCTAAATATGAATCTATATGTGAGTCGTTTATATTGAAAGTGGTTTAAGTTCATTTTAGGTTTTGATGCAAATCTTTTTATATTCTATCACGTTTAAGGGCCCAAAACCACAAACAAAATGTATACCACTAAGCAATATTTGAAAAAATGACTTAACTCATTTTTAAAATAAACGTATATGGAACTTTTCGTAATGATTGGTCCATAACTGTCGGTTGTTTACAAAGAACAGCCGTACAGATTGAGGAAGTCTACATATTCGAGTACGTCTTTACAGAATGCTATTCTATAAGCAGAGGTTTATTTTTTTTTAAGATGAATGTAATTTCTGTAAAGAATTTTTACACCCTCCCTCATGTTATGCGGATTCAAAAAATTTCTTAAAAAGTTCGGAGCCTTTATATGGGGCATATGTCATGGCTAATTATCTGCCAGTTTATGCTCTGAGAAATTTAAAAAACCAAATTACAGAGATCTCTGTGCAGAACTGGGCAATGAACTTCAACGTATTGAAAACTAATTAGGATATGGGGAATATTTAAAAACCATAGATCCATACTGAAAGATTTCTAGGAACAATGTTCATATTCACCAGGAATCCGAATTGACAAATTTCAGTCACTTTGGTGGAATAATGCCGCTGACATCATTAAAATAACGAAAATTCGGTAGAGCTATGTCAAAACACGGCCCCACATTAAAAATTTTCTCAAAAATAATCATCCATCAAGAACCCGGAGTGTTTATTGCAGTGGGAAAATTCACTCTTCATGAAACCGGAATGTTTATTACAATACCGATAATTATGCCGGACCTTTATATGGGGGTTATGCTAAAATATGTTAATATATATGACAAATTACAGTCCTTTCGGTTAGAAAATGCGTTTTAAAATGTGAAGTTGTCGAAAATAGTGCGGTACAGTTATGTTGGAGCTATACTAAAACGTGCGCCGATGTATTGTATTTATAACACCAAAGCATCCTTAGAGTAGTAGCAATGCATCAAATCTCTATCTTAAATATTGGGGTCTCTTTCGTAATTTAAACACACATCCAGACATATGGGCATTGCTAAATTGATCAAGAATTTATATATATTTTATTCGGGACTCCGGTGAATATCTCAAATAAAATTGAAGGGTAGTTCAATAATAAACCTTTTAGATCAACACATCTAAAAATTAGGTCATAGGCGAAAAAGTACCACAAAATTCTTTAAAAAAACGAGAGGACTAAAAAGAACACACAAATTTTATGAGGAGAACCAAATGGAGATAAGATAAAGCTTAACGCTTAACAACAAGGAAATCAGCAGACTGACCGGTATTCTCATTCTCACAAAATTGGGTGTAAGGGAAGCAACAGGTGCAGAGCGTGTTTCCGACACCACTGCTTTTGTAGGTCTTCAAATCCAAATCTTGGGAAATTATACTATTCACGAACTTACGAACCTAAGCGGATGTGACAGAAAAATACTAAAGGCATTCACTATGAACACCGAATTCCTAGAAGCTTAGAGAGACAAAATTTCAAAATTAGTTCTGCTAAGTTGTCTTCATTTCTAAAGCGCACAAGAGTATGCCCTGCTAATGGCCATGTAATGGCGTAAAGCACCCTTCTTTTCAGCATTATCAAAAGGACTTATCAACTCACACCCTAGGTAGCTATAAATGATCAATCGGCTATAATTCTTGTATCGGCATTAACATATAAGGTTTCAAACCAGGAACCTTGGGCAAAAGTCGTCATAACGTTGTTTGGGAGATGTCCAATTCGTTTGCTACGAGACAGCGACATTTTCGACACTTCGACCAACATGTGGTCACACTGACATCGAATTTTTTAGATTACTTCAACGAGAATTACAACAGAAAATTGGAATTAAAGCGTTCATTAAATTAAAAATTTCCCAGGTCTTAATGTAATACCTTTACAAATGTAACATTTGCATTGCATAAAATAAATGTTTAATATTTTTATAAGATAAATTCTGTATACACTATAAAAATTGTCGTGTACTTACTAGTAGAATTGAATTAAATAAAGAATTTGGATTCACAACTTGTCTAGTCAGAATAAGGGGAAACATAATTCATCATGTTTGTTGTCTCAAAATGATCGTCTCTTTAAGGTTTTAAGGTTTAAGGTTTTGAAATGGGAGAGGGGTCACCATTTCAATTTGAAATTTTTGGCGATTTTCAAAAAAAACTTTTAAATTTGAAAAGCTCTCCTGCCGTCGACTATATCATCGAGAGCTGTTGAGATTTTTATTTGAAATTTTGAGGAGACATTCATGAATTAGAATAAGTTCCAATTCAATAAAAAAAACAAAAAAATTTTTTTTTTGACAATTTTTGGTTAAGTCGTTAGTTTGAGGAATTTCCTTCATCTCAATATGTGCTCATACAGATCTGCTTCAGAGGCTTCTACTTCTAACTTTATCATGGGTTTATAGTTATGATTCCAATGGGAGTCATCTCATAAATCGATTATATAAGAAAGGAGCGTCACACGGCCGTACCGCCAATAATAACATTTTTAACTGGAAAATTATCATAGCCGTATGCCTTTAAAAAACAACATATTACTAAATTGTTCTCTTATACTTATCACTAATCATTAAATAAAAAATCAAAAAAAAATTTTTTTTGACAATTTTTGGTTAAGTCGTATTATATATGAGGCTTATCGCTTCCCTCCTTCATCTCAATATGTGCTCATACAGATCCAAACTTATCACATCATAATTTTTTTTATCAAATTTATTTAAAATCCGACAATGCGGTTTTGGATAATAAGTATACTACCCATATATAGTGCAACTATTGGCTATATAGGTCCAAATTCCCTCTCCCACAAACCATCGCATTTTTAATAAATTATTAATTTCATAACAACATATTTCAACCTCGATTTTTTTATCGTTACGAATTCAAAGATTTTCGATGCAACCTATTATAACAATTACATTGATATTCAAAATATACTACCCTATACCTATGTATATAAAAATCAGTAAAAGTATCTATCTATACAAATGTAAATATAATTTTTGTTACTGATACATAAAAAAAAATATTTGTAAACAACATTTTGCAAAAAATAAACCCTTTATTTCATTCACAATCGCATTAAAAAAGTTAAGATATATGGTAAGTAGAAATTCATAATTGTCAAATGTGATTGCATGTGTGCTAAATTTTTCTACACAACTGTTAATTGGGTAAATCACCTTAATCAATTCCAAATTCAGAGAGATAGAAAGAGAAAGAGAGCGAATAATTAACAAAATAACTAATATTTCAATATTTCAACAGTTTTACTGAACAAAAAATCGGCATCAACAAATTAGTTATTGTTTTTGCTTAGAGCCGATTGCAACTCACAGAAAAATAGAACGGAGAAACTAAACTTGTGAATGAGAACGAATGTCAAGCACGTGAACAATGATTACAACAACAACAAATGCATTTTGAAAAACATATGATTTGTTTTTTTTTACAATAATTATTCGACGTATTAAAAGTGGCTGGATTGTGATAAAGTACTTGTTTTGTGTTTCTTCCGTGTATATTTCTTTGGTGTAAATAGTAAATTGTTAAGACTTTTTTAATTCTTATAAGAAGCTTTCATTTAAAAATATAGTCAAATAAAATAAATGATTTGATTGAATATTAATTCTAATCAATAAAACAATTTACAGTTGCACAATGTTAAAACGATTGTTGGGTAAAGAAACTCGAGCCGCCTGTTAAGTGATGTTCTCTTCGTAAAAAGCAAAAAAGGTGTGGATATTTTCAAAATATGTTTGAAAAATTTAATTAATTAGAAATAATATAATTAATGAAAAATAATTTAATAATTTAAAAAAAAAATGTGTTTCAACGGCCCTAAATAAGTGTAGAATTTCAAAAATATTACTCTGACTACAAACATTCGTCAATTTTTTAATAAAAAGTTTTCAAGAACTAGGTAGGTTTAGTAGGTAGTTTATGCTCTGAGAAATTAAAAAAAAAAAACAAATTACAGAGATCTCTGTGCAGAACTGGGCAATGAACTTCAGCGTATTGAAAATTAATTGGGATATTTAAAAACCATAGATCTATATGAAAGATTTCTAAGAACAAATTTCTTATTCACCAGGAATCCGAATTAAAAAATTTCAGCCACTTTGGTGGAATAATGCCGCTGACATCTATAAAATGACGAAAATTGTGTGGAGCTATGTCAAAACACTGAAAAATAATTTAATAATTAAAAAAATGTGTTTCAACGACCCTAAACAAGCGTAGAATTTCAAAAATATAATTCTGACTATAAACATTCGTCAATTTTTTTAATAAAAAGTTTTCAAGAACTAGGTAGGAAGTGTTAAAAAATATTTTTTCCATGAATATAAAAAAAAATTTGGATTTAAAAAAAATTGCAACTGCAGACAAGTGGGATTGTTAGTAATAATTTTGCAAGGACTATATTTAAGTTTGATTTAAAAATACTAAAAACAAAATTGCATTTCATAAAAACATTTTTTCAAGGGCTATAAAAACGCACGCATTTTTATACCCTTCACCACACTGTGGTACAGGGTATTATGTTTTGTAACAGGCAAAAGGAAACGAGATAGACACATGGTTCCTTTTGAGACCATGCATAGAATCACTTTTTAAGTCGATTTATGCATGTCCGGCCGTTCGTCTGTCTGTCCATGTTCAATTGTAAACAAAATACAGGTCGCATTTATGATCCGAGTTGGATGAAATTTGGCACAGCTTGGGAAATTGGGAAACATCTGTTCAGATTTAGATATAGCTTCGTCTGTCTGTCCATGTTAAATTGTAAACAAAACATTTATGATCCGAATTGTATGAAATTTGGCACGCTTGGGAAATTGGGAAAAATCTGTTCAGATTTAGATATATCTCCCATATATACTTTCGTCCGATATAATGTGAATGGTGTACCAAAGTATCTATATATCTTCTGATTTGCACGAATTTTGGCATAGCGTAATGAATTGAGTCTAGAATGATGTGTGTAAAATTTCTTGAAAATCGGTTCAGATTTAGATATAGCTCCCATATATATTTTCGCCCGATGTAAGGTAATTGGTGCACCAAAGTCCCTATATATCTTTCGATTTGCACAAATTTTGGCATAATAATGTGAATGGTGTACCAAAGTCCCTATATATCTTTCGATTTCCAAGAAATTTGGCATTGCGTACTGAATTGAGTCTAGAATAATGTGCGTAAAATATCTTGAAAATCGGTTCAGATTTAGATATAGCTCCCATATATATGTTCAACCGATTTATGTAAATGGTTCACCAAAGACCCTATATAACTTTCGATTTGCACGAAATTTGGTATAGCGTAATGAATTAATTCTAGAATGATGTGTGTTAAGTTTCCTGAAAATCGGTTCAGATTTAGATATAGCTTCCATATATATTTTCATCTGATTTAAGGTAAATGGGACACCAAAGTCCCTATATATCTTTCGATTTACACGAAATTCGGCTTAGAGCAATAAATTGAGTCAAGAATGATGTGTGTAAAATTTCTTGAAAATCGGTTCAGATTTAGATATAGTTCCCATATATATGTTCAACCGATTTAATGTAAATGGTTCACCAAAGACCCTATATATTTTTCGATTTGCACGAAATTTGGCATAGCGTAGTGAATTACTCCTAGAATGATGTGTTTTAAGCTTCCTGGAAATCGATTCAGATTTAGATATAGCTCCCATATATATTTTCGTTCGATTGAAGGTAAATAGGGCACCAAAGTCCATATATATCTTTCGATTTGCACGAAATTTAGCAAAGGGTACTGAATTAGGTCCAGAATGATGTGTGCTAAATTTCGTGAAAATCTGCACAGATTTAGATATAGCTCCCAGATATGTTTTCGTTCGATTGAAGGTAAATAGGGCACCAAAGACCATATATATCTTTCGATTTGCACGAAATTTGGCACAGAGTACTAAATTAGGTCCAGAATGATGTGTGCTCAGTTTCGTGAAAATCGGTTCAGAGTTAGATATAGCTCCCATATATAGTTTTGTCCGATTTTATGTAAATGTTGCACCAAATTTGCACGAAATTTGGCATATGGTACTGAATTAGGTCCAGAATAATGTGTGCTAAGTTTCGTTAAAATCGGTTCAGATTTAGATATATCTCCAATATATATTTTCGTCCGATTTAATGTAAATTGTGCACTGAAGACCCAAATTTGGACGGCCGGAACACACTTTTGTACAATGTACTGAAGTTATTATAACCTTTCGTGTGTCAAGTTTTCTTAAAAGTGGTTCAGATTTACATATAGCTCCTATACATACTTTCGTCCGATTTTAAGTAAATGGTGCACTAAAGACCCATAGATAGGCCGATTGGCAAAACGTACTGAAATTAATATAAATTAATCTCTGACAAGTTTCCTTGAAATCGCTTCAGATTTAGATATAGCATAGCATCCATATATAATTTCGACCTATTCATGTTGATTGTACAGCAAACAATCAATGGGTGTCTGATTCATATTACAGTTTAAAAAGTAAAGCATACCAAAAAGCGTGCGTAAAGTTTGATTTAAATAGATTTACAAAGTATGGAATTGATTGCGAAAGGCATGTGTTGGAATTGATATTAGTCCGTTTACTTAAAGATCGCATATTTAAGTTCGTTCAATTTCATGTCAATGTTGCTTGGAAAAGACGATATCTGTTAGAATACATATGTAAAATATCCCCAAGTGATGAAGGGTATAATATTACCGGCCCAGTCCGACTTTACTACATTCCCTGCTGGTTAAACATATTTTTTCAATGACTTTAATCATACACGACAACAACATTTCAACATTTTTAATAGCATTTCCAGAATTATATGAAGAATGGATAGAGACAAGCAAAATGAAGCAAACAACTCAAGCGTCTATAAGGCAACAACAGTATCACAGAAACCCAAACGTCCTGATAGAAGTGATTTAGGTCCAAATTTTGTGGCACCTGATGGAGGCTGGGGTTGGGTGGTGTGCATTGCTGCCGGTTTAAGTAATGTGAGTGTTTAATCCTAAAAAATTAGTTGTTGTTTTAATTTGTAAAATTTTATATCACTTTACAACAGCTTTCCCTGTTCCCGCCGCAGCATCAATATGGCCTCATCTATAGGCAACGCATGGAAAAATCCGGCTTTAATGCCAAACAGATATCAACAATTGTTAATTCCGAATTGGCATTATCTTCATTGGTCGGTCTTGTCAATGGTGCCATGTTTCGACGGTTTACATTTCGTCAGGTGGCATTGATGGGTAGCCTATTGGCATTCGTGGGAATATTTTGTTCGGCATTTTGCGAAAATTTCTTACAATATTTATTAAGTTTTTCCACGATTTATGGTAAGTAGATGAGGCAAATTTGTAAAATTTTAAATACAAAATATTTTGTTTTTCTTCATCTAGGTATTGGTTTGGGCCTGTGCTGCCAAGCAAACGCCCTGGCCTTGAATACATATTTCAAAAATAAACGCCGAAAAGCTACTGGATTTTCATGGACCATAACTGGCTTGGGTTCGGTGATATTTCCACAAATCACCATAATTTTATTTGCCCATTATGGTGTGCAGGGTGCAATTTTGGTGTACTCGGGCATAATGTTAAATGCCTTTATGTGCTCCTTGACGCTGCAGCCAGTTTTGTGGCATTCTCCCAAGTCCAAAGAAGATCAAATTTTAACAAATGATGACAGAGGAAATTGCGAAGAAGAAGACGTTGTTTTTAAGTGTCAATATTGTCGGGATCAGGAAATTCTAGAAGAAAAGGAGTTGAAATTCGAAAAGGCCGAAAGTCTGACGATGGCTCAGGAAAATAATGAGGGGAGGGAAAGGAAATCTTCAAGAAAAAATTGTGAAAATGATGGCAACCAAATGAAAGAAAATCAGGACGGAACCTTGCCTACAATTTCAAACCAAACCAATAATAATTCCCAGTCCATAAAAATTGCCTCTACCAGTTGTACCTGTGCCGAAGAGAAACTTCTTCTAGAGAGAAGACCAGAGAAATACACATTCAATATCGAAGAGGAGGAAGGAAGCCGTAAGAAATCCTCTTTTACCCAAAAAGTAATATTATTTTTCGATTTGGATCTGCTGAAAGATTTGACTTTCGTCAACTTGGCTTTGGGCATGGCCATAATGATGTTCGGTGAAATCAACTTCTCAGTACTCACCCCATTCATATTGAACAACTTCGGCTACACCGATAAACAAATATCTGTTGCCATGTCCTGCTTGGGTATTATGGATATTGCTGTAAGGTTTCTCTCCCCTTTTGTATTGGAGAAAGTGAAACTATCGAACAGTGTTCTCTTTGCCATTGGTATTATCACCGTATCGCTGGGACGTTGGATTGTAACTCTCACCGATTCATATCACATCGTATTGATGGTCTTTATTTTAATTGGATTCGGTAAGGGCTTTCGTATAATCTTCTCGCCATTGATAATACCCAGTTATGTTCCGCTGAAACGTCTCCCGGCAGCATCGGGATTACAATTGATATTCAGTTCAATAACATCGTTTACATTGGGTCCATTGTTGGGTAAGCGAGGGATTTTATGAGTTTGATTTTTTGTTTCTATGATTGAATTCTTTGAATTTCTCTTTTAGGCTTAATTACCGATAACTATGGCTATGCGATCACCATACATTGTATAAATGCCCTGACCTGTTTGATGTTATTATTCTGGTTAATGGAGTATTTGATACGAAGGAGGAAATCGACTTTAAACAATAACATGTGATATAAATATATTTTTAATTATTAAAAAAATGTTTTTTTCAAAGTCTATACAAAAAAGTACCGAGGTTTTTCAAACCACAAGAGCGTTGAATTTCAATATGTTCTTTTACAAGGACGACTACAGACAAACGCCGATTTTTAATAAAAATTTTTGCAAGGAATATAACCATGCGTGGACTTTTAATAAACAATTTTGAAAGGACTATAAACAAGCGGTATTTTTAATAATTTTATTCAGAGACTGTGAACTAGCGCGATGTTTCGATAAATATTTTTGCGAGGGCTTTAGGTAAACGGTAACTGGTAACCGACACTAATTCAAGAATGTCCCTACAAAATTTCAAGTCAAAATCTCAAGAACTCTTCAAGATATAGTCGATTTATTGTGTCAGCATCAAGTGACGGCAAGACTGACTCTCAAACTTTAAACACATTTTTCTCGAATCAATATGGCGGGCACGATAACTCAAAAACTAATAACCCAATCGGCGTAAAAACGGTAAAAATTAAGTTTTTGGTGTTAATATAACCCTTCCTCTCCCGGTAGTCCATTTTAAAATTAAAATTTTGAAAATTTAAGGTTTTACTTTGGCAGCAAAACCGTTTTAGAATTTTTAAATTTATATTGTCCTTCATTCAGACAGATAACATTTAACGTACAAAATACTCCTCTAGATGGCATTCGTCCATCTGAAACGTTTTGTATATGCATCCTAACGATAATTTCGACATTTTAATTAAAAAGAAAAGTGTGTGGTCACGCGTTAAATATTCATTTAACCGTTTAATGTACTCGCATTCGGTTTGAGATTTTCAACATCAGAAATTAAAAGTTTTACAATTTTTTTGGATGGGGGAAGTGAGAATTTTTAATACATATTTTTGCAAGAATGTAAACAAGCGTGAATTTTTTTGCTGGGTTATAAACAAGCGTTGATATTCAATAAATATTTTTGCAAGAGTGGATTTTTATACCCTACACAACTAATTTGTCAGGGTATTATAGCATTGTGCAGTCCCAAGAGTTTGTAACGCCGCGAAATATTCGAAATACCTTTATGTATACCGATCTTCATTTGTGTCCGTCCCTCCGTCTGTACATTATAATTTGTAAACACGATACAGGCCACACGAAACTTTGCATGTAGGATGGGTTCTGGCCAATGAATACACCTGGTAAAGATCGGTAAAAAATTTATGGGATGAAATAGACCAAATACTTAATTTTTGTCGTTTTTTTTTCTGGTCGCTCTAGAGGCGGCAATTATGAGGAAGGGGATCGGACCAAAGTAAAAGCATGCCTATTTTGATAAACATCGCTAAATATTTAGCGGTTGAAATGGACCTTGACTTTTGTGTGAAAAATGACAAATTTGGTATTCTATAGCGTATATCCTGAAGGACATAGTCCCAAGATGTTGATAGTATATCCAAGAGGAGTAGTAGACCTTTAAATTGATACCAATTATATTATCGTATGTACTCGGATGTGGGAGTTACACGTAAATATTTACAGGTGCTTACTTATTCAGATATTATTTAGTAACTCATTACCACACTGGAGGGCGGAAATATAACGCTGATCGTTTTGAATTGTTCCATGAGGTTCCAGTTATGGTCAAAGACAACGCCTATAATTTTCGGTGATGATAAGATGGATGGATGGTGGACCGAAAACAAGTAATATTTTTTTGTGTTTTTTTTTTCGAGTCGATTTATAGGCCACAATTATAAGCCAAACATCATAACACAAACCACGGTGAAGGGAATATGGACTAGTTATTAGAAGGACTGTACTGAATATTAGTAATATTCGGAAAATATGTCAGTCGAAGTGTTGACCTCTAATCGGACAAGAGGGTGCAACTATGACGAAATATTGCCCAGGTTCGGAATAAAAATCCGCAGAAACTTAGAGTTCCGTGGTAGTTATGTAGGTTATCGTATGGTAGGTCCCGTCCGATTATATTGCTCCGCCCACTGGTTTACAAATATTTTTGAAAAGGAGTATAAACAAGCGTGGATTTTTAATAACTATTTTTGCAACGACAAGAAGTGTAGATTACCAAACAATATTTTTTCAATGACTACAAACAAATTCGGATTAAAAAATATAATTTTTGAGCAAGGACTAACAAGGAAGAATGGATTTCATATTTCTAATAAGTTGCGAAAATTTACCGAATTTTTTTCATAATGGTTTTTCCATACCATATCAATGTTTTACTGTAGCATATCGTAAAAAGAAATAAATAATAGCATACCTTTAGGCTGTTAAAACATTAGAAACGACGATAAATCGTACAACACAATGTAATAATAAAAAGAGAAATGCAAACATTATTTGGATAGAATTATAGAATTTATGTTTTTTTAAACATTAACGAAATATAAAAAATAAGATATATTACCAAAAATTGAACATAGCTGAAGCCACTTTATAATTCATAAATGGTTATAGTATGGCGTACAAATTGAAGAGCTTTGGATAAATTCGTTTTACTAAGGGGAAATCCAAAGTTGTGCAATCCAATTTGTATCCAATTTATATACAGTAAAGTAAAGTACTGTTATAGCAAACTAGTAAGGATCAATTAAATTAGTTCGTTATATCCAAGCTTAAAGCAAACATAGATATAGCAAATATATGGCCAATATTGTCTTTTTTTAACGTACCTTAAGTCGAGGTTCACCTATTTATGTCTGGAGAATTTTTAAAATATATAAGAAAATTGAATAATTTGGATTTATTGATCTGCCATTGCAAACATTTCATGTTATTCACCATCAACATTTTTTGTGGAAGCTGTGTCTATTTTAATGTAAACCACTAAAAATAGATCAAAAGTCGGACGGGGCCGACTATATGATACCCTTCACCACTTTGGGTACATACAAAAGATGTTAATGTTAGGTTGGGGAAAAAGAAATCCATTATGTATAATATGTACCGAATTATCTCTTTGTTCACTTCCATTTTTAACACCCTGTAACTCAAAACTGAATGTACCAAACAAAAAACTGCAACGAGCATAAATCTGAAATTCTTTGATCGATACTTTATCAGTGCAGGCATCTGCCGAAAAAAATAATGGATTTCTTTTTTCCCAATCTAATATATACAATATCCTTTAGATAGAACAGATATAGCAACTTTGGAGGAACATTGAGGTGTAATCTGGCGGAATTAAATGTGCAATCTACATAGATATTTGAACCAATTAAAAAACCCCATACCCATACCATTGTAAAGTCAATGAAAAATTGCATGACAAACGGGCAGACATGAATTCGTTGGTGTACCATTTGCATTGAAATGGAGCAAAATTATGTATGGGAGCTATATATAAACCCATGGGCCTAATTGAGCAAACGTTACATATATCATTTGGTTTTTGCAACTTTAATACACATCACACTGAACACAATAGCATATGCACAAATTTCGTGTAAATCGAACAAACATACGCTCTTCGGTTGAACATTTACATAAAATCGGAAGAAAAAAAATAAATAAGACCTATATCTAAATATCAACCGATTTCAACAAACCTTAACGCACACCATTCTTGCCTCAATTGCATTCGCTATGCAAATATTTGTTTCAATCGGACAAATATTGGAAGTTTGGCACATCGTTCACATAAAATCGGACGAAACAATATATAGGAGCTATATCTAAATCTGAGCAGATTTTAACAAAACTTCGCATATATCAGTCCAGACCTAATTCAGTACCCTGTGCAAATTTTTGTCTCTATCGGACAAATATTGGGAGCTTGGTAAATGGGAGCTATATCTAATTCTGAACCAATTTTAACAAAACTTTGCATACATCAGTCTGGTCGTAATTCAGTACGGACAAATATTGGGAGTTTGGTGCATCATTCACATAAAATCGGATGAAACTATATATGGGAGCTATATCTAAATCTGAACCGATTTCAGTAAAACTTCGCATACATCAACCAGATTTATGCTCGCATTAAAACAATTATTTTGCTGTTTTTTTTGTGCATTTAGTTGTGAGTAACAAGGTGTTGAAAATGGAAGTGAAGAAAGAGATAAGTCGGTACATTTTCTTTGACAAAGGCGAAAATGCAAGCCAAGTGGCTCAAATTGTGAATGCTGTTTATATTTCCGATACTGTAACAGCCAATTATGTGCAATTTGATAAGGAAGACCGGCATGTTTTAAACCATTTACACAAAAAAATAAATAAATAATGGATTTCTTTTTACCTAAGCTAATATTAGGAGTATGGTGCACTATTTAGATAAAATCGTACGAAAATATATATGGGAGCTCTATCTCAATCTGAACAGATTTTCTCTAATTTCAATAGGAGGATTATAAAACTGGTTCCAATCTTAACCAGTTGGATTTATACTAGGTCATATAAAAGCTATGTAGGTCAAGAATAACGTGTTCAAATTTGAAACCGATTGGGTTTATAGTTTATGAGTTATCGTCCGTTAATCGTAAAAACATCGTAAAAAAGACAAATTATGTGTTGAATATATCTTTTCGGCATTTCCATGATTTGAAAACCAATTTGAAAATTTTCCAATCGATGTAAGAATACGATGCGACTAAAACACTACGATGTGACATTCAGGTGCAGTTTTTTAATTTCGATTGCCACATGGCATGGAACGCTTTAACAGAGTCTTCTGGAGATGGAAAGTATAGGCCAGGGTTTTTTAAGTCATTGGATGCCACCACTAATTCCTCATTTTGATCGATCAAACAGCGACGGGTTGAGTCGATGCGTGAGAGTTCGCATTGTCTTGGTGCACACTAATTCGTGTTCTCTTGTTCGATTTTCTAAAAAATACCCGAAGATCGTATATCACATGACGATCATACTTTATCAATTCACACACGGTAGTAATTTTCTGTGGCAAAACAGCTGTTCTTCGAGAACCTTCCTGACCATCGTCTATCTGCAAGTCAAGATTATAATCATTATACCAGTTCTTACCCATACATTGATT